AATTCTCTGATAGAGAATGTCAGTAATAAGACACTGCTTGACTTTGTCCTTTGTAACGTATTAGCCACTGAGTACTTTTTTGTAAACCACTAATCTGACTTACCTGTGTGAGCCAGGATTGCACACATCTATACAGGAGAGTTCTCTAATTGGAAATTGAATGCTTAGTAGTTCACGCAATCCTCCATAAAATGTACACCTGTACACCCACAAATTCTGTCTGTTTTCATTCACATGGAAAGAACGCATGCAAGGAAATTGTCATCAGAGAGAGTTATTCACCACTCCCCATTAGTCCTACTTCATAATGTAGAACCAGAATCTCACTGCCTTTAACTTCAGACTATGATCTTGCTACCATCTCATTTGTTTCTCCGTGAAGAGTGCACAGTGCACTGTTTCCCCTTTTCTAGACTGAAGGGGGAAACCATGCTTCAAGCATCATGCCTTTCCCTATTCTGTAACAGACAATCGAATATGTGACTCAAACTAGTCATTTTAAAACTCTGAGTGGCTGCAGATTTTTAATCCAATATTTAGCATGGTTTGTCAGGATTACAAGAGCAAAACCCTATGGGGCTACAGACAGGGTTCAAATCCACTCAATCAATATAGGAAACTTTAACAAAAAACTGCTTTACAAAAGATTGGGGATGAATCTTTTCTAGAATTAATATAAATTTATGGACTTAATATTGTTTGTGACCCTATAATGGTCCCTTGAGCATCATTTAGAGGACAGCTTTTTAATGGAGGGATAGGCTTTTCTGCTGCTGTGAAAATGTGTGTATTTCCTTTGGTATTGGAATCTAGCTAGTTAAACCTGGGGAACAAACATTTATATCTTATCATAGTGTAATCTAACAGTCTTTGTTAGCATACTACTTGTCTTTGGAGTATTTGGGATGCAGTCATTCCATGACCTAAATTCTATTTAGTGACTTAATGTCTCCTAAGAAGATCAATTCTTCCACCATCACATCTACACTTTTATATCACAATTTAGCAGTGGAATGCTCTGCTACACAGGAAATATTGTTGTCAAGCTCCATACAATTAACTCTACATGATTTCAGATCATAAATATTAAACATTCAAAGTACAGAACTTCTGGAAGATACTAAAGTGACCAGGCCTCCCAGTTTCACAAATCTGTGTTTTATAACGACATCCCAAGCACTAAGGTCACCTGCATTTAATAGCAATGTCAACAAGGATATTTAAGAGCACATTCCCAGTCCCAATGATCTTCACAGGCACAGCCAGCAGAGTGAACACACTCAGAATCTGCCGGCTGACCCAGAGAATTCTAAAGAACATGCAGGACTTTTAAAATTACATGGAAATAAACTATGGCCACACAGGACATCAGGACCATTCACACAAGACCAGGCAGGATCATGGTGAACTCTGCCTCTGGACACTTACTCAAAACCAGCCATGGGAGGACCCTCCATGCTGGCTCCCATGGCTCAACTAGGCAGTTCTCCCAGTCTCTGGATAGTAGCCCCAAACTCACCATGATGTGATTTTCCAGCTCCTCTCTGCTCAGCTCCCTACAGCAGCACTCACAGTACAGCAAGCAAGACTGCTACAACAGATTCTCTTCGAAGCAACACCTGAAGACAGCAACAGGAAGGACCCAGCACAATTTCTGAGTGGCAGATGGCCTGGATGTCTTGATTGGTTCATGAAGTCTGAGTGAAAAGAGCTCCTCCCATAGGGTTAGACTGTGCTTTAAGACACAGACAAGGCTGGGTGTTGGTTGTGCATGCCTTCAATCTCAGCACATGGGAGGAAGAGGAAGGTGGATCTCAGTGATTTTGAGAGTAGTCTGGTCTAAAAAAGCTAGGTGCAGGACAGCATCCAAGGCTACAGAGAAACCCTGCCTCTAAAAACAAACAAACAAACAAACAAAAAAACAAAAAAGGGACACAGAACAATAATTTCTGATCCTGCCTTCTATGCATGACAGAGACATTTTCTATATCAGAAGAGATATGCATTACAATAGCTTTTGCATCTGTCTGGAACACCAGACCCAGGTCTCTCCCTGATATCCATAGGCACTTCCTCTTCTTTGTTCTGAACACAGAGTAGCCAGCAAACATTTACAGTCCTCTGTACTATGTGTTGTGCAGTGTATTTCCGTCACAACAGTGAGAGAGAGAAATATTGACAACTAAAGAGCAATTTCAGGAAACAGTAGGAAAGGTTTGTCATGTGGCTCCTCACTGAGGTCAGGTGACCTGAACTTGCTATTTATCCAGTTGCTATAGTCACTTCAGCAAACCATGAAAGAAACTCAGGAACTAGATCACAAACAAGATAAAGAGAATTTCTCCCATTAGAAAACTGGACAATGGCTCCGTTGCTTTAGCAGTTGTATTACTGAAATTCAGAGCAAACTGTTGACAGATGAATAGGAATACAGAGTATCCTTCAAGGAATGTTGAATACTTAGAGAACAATGTATCAAGGAAAAATGTGTTTATAAACACTATTGTTAGCCAGCACATCTTCCTCAGGGGAGTTAAAAAAATAAAAACCACAATTATAATATTCATTGTTGTCTACATCAATGAGACTGGTAGATTGAATCACTACATACAAGTGGAAAGTGATTTATTAGAATATCTTAGGTGTTGGTCCTGATAGTGCAACAATGATTGACTTCCAATAAGATATTTGAAGACTCGAGTATTTCTGTTCATGAAGCTGAATTTCTCAGCTGAGTCTTCAATATATACTCAAAATCTCAAGGAAGTGGCTCTAATTCTGATAAAGGAATGAACTTGTTAGCCAGGTCTGAGGGATCAGAAATGAACATTAATAAATGTTTAAAAACTGGGGCCCAAATCTATACAATGAAAGGGAACTTCTAATGGTAAAGGGAAATTAAATCAGGAGTGCCATGTCTTGTGGCTGAGCCCCTGCTCTTGGAGAAGGGGAGGTAACTGTCCACTACTCCAGTTAACATTCCTTTCCTGATTGCTGATTATAAAGGGTCCCTACCAGTTGTAAAGATCCCTTGGCCCAGGGAATAGCTGACAGTCCTTATGGACCTGTAACCCTGTGAGGCCATACCCTGTCTTACCTCACTCAAATGTATTTTGTTTTAAATATATAGTTACTGCTTTACTCTGTACATTGCATGACCTTAAGTAACCATGGATACCATCAAATTTGTGCCCTGCAGCCTTATGATTTGTCCCTTAAATGCTCCTATTTTTGGCTGGCTGGCATCTCATTTCCTCTGCCATTGAAGTGATCAATTTGGCCACCTTGAACAGCAAATGTAACCTCTTGCTTTTGCATCAGAGTGTCAACTCCCAGGATTCATTTCTGATGAAAACTTGTGAAAGACCCCGGCCCAGCACAGGTGGCTGAGGCCTATGGAAAATTCCTTTCCCCCACAGCTCAGCCGAATAGTCATTTTTTCGATCAGAAGGAAGCTCAGCTCAAGGTCTTTACAGCTGCATAGTCACTACTATCTCTGTCCAGATAGGGGCCCAGGTGTCTATGGTCTGCACAGCCAGCCCAGAAAGATTGGGCAGGCACAGAAACCTTTGTTCTTCAGATAGGGCCAAGGCCGAGAATTGAGTTATGAGAGAAACCTTAATTGCCTCTCTGTCCAGATGAGAGAAACCTTAATTGCCTCTCTGTCCAGATGAGAGAAACCTCGTTCTGAGCCCCCGCCTCATTTAAATTACCCAATCAGGGTCCTGTAACTAGGCTTCTCGCTTCTGTACTGCGCTTTTTGCTATAAAAGAACCCCTGAGTCCCCAGCTCGGGGCTCTCAGTTCCCGAGACTGAGACGCCCCGGGTACCCGTGTATTATCAATAAAGCCTCTTGCTGTTTGCATCCAAGCTCGTGGCCTCGGTGTTCCTTGGGTTCGGGTCTCCCTCCCGTGAAAGTCCCCCGCCTGGGGTCTTTCATTTGGTGCATTGGCCGGGAATTGAGACCCCGCCCAGGGACCACCGACCCACTTCTGGGAGGTAAGAATTGTCCGGACTAAATTTCTGTTGTTTCTGTTGTCTGCTGTCTGTCTGTCTATGCCTGTTGTTTTATTGCGCCTGCGTCTGTAATATACAGCTGTATACATCTGTATCTGGTGGCACCGACCGCAGCTCTAGGACACGATCTGCCTCGTCTGTTTGGGGCCCCGTCTGTTTGGGGCAGATGTCCATCTGCCCCGTCTGGAGTTCTTAGGGAACTCGTCTGTTTGGGGCCCCGTCTGTTTGGGGCAGATGTCCATCTGCCCCGTCTGGAGTTCTTAGGGAACTCGTCTGTTTGGGGCCCCGTCTGTTTGGGGCAGATGTCCATCTGCCCCGTCTGGAGTTCTTAGGGAACTCGTCTGTTTGGGGCCCCGTCTGTTTGGGGCAGATGTCCATCTGCCCCGTCTGGAGTTCTTAGGGAACTCGTCTGTTTGGGGCCCCGTCTGTTTGGGGCAGATGTCCATCTGCCCCGTCTGGAGTTCTTAGGGAACTCGTCTGTTTGGGGCAGGTCTGTATCTGGAGCTGGAGTTCTTAGGGACTCGGTTGTTTGGGGTAGATGCCTAGGAATCTGCCCCGTCTGTTTGGGGAAGTCCCGCTGGCCGAGGGAGTTTCCATCCTGATAGGGGACAAGGACGGGAGCACAAGGCCCCCGTCCCCGATCTGAATTTGCTTTTGACTTTCGTCAAAGCCGCGCAGCGAAAATCTGTTTGTTTTTGTTTCTTATCTGTTCGTCCGTCTGAATGTCGTTTGTCATCGCTCTCGAGATGCTCGTAACCGGACTGTCAATGTGCGCAAGAAGCAAAGATCACCTTTTGCTCTTCTGAATGGCCAACTTTTGATGTTGGCTGGCCACGAGATGGCACCTTTAACCCTCAAATTATTTTCCAGGTGAAAGAGAAAGTCATGGATCCTGGACCCCAGGGCCACCCGGACCAAGTACCCTATATAGTTACCTGGGAAGTGCCGGTCTATGACCCTCCCTCCCCCTCCTCTTCCCTAACCCCCGCCGCCGCCGCTGCGGCACTGCTCGGGCTGCGGCCCATTTCCGGTTCGCGTTCAGCGTCCCGGCCGCTGCGCGAAGGGCGCCCTGAATGTGACCGGCGACAATGCGAGGGGAGCTGTGTCTGCCTCCCTGCGGCCCGCGATGGACCGGGTCAGAGAGCGGCCGCCACGCCCCTCGGCCCCGCTCCCCGGCAGACGCTCTGGCCCTTCCGGGCGGCGCCGTAGCCTCAGCCCGCTCCGGATTAAACCGCCCTGCCTCCGGACGGGCCATGATGGCCAGTTGCAGTACTGGCCGTTCTCTGCCTCAGATCTTTATAACTGGAAAAAATAACCCCTCCTTTTCAGCAGATCCTGTGAGAATGACTGATCTATTGGAGTCGGTTCTTACTACCCATCACCCCACCTGGGGCAAATGGACAACCTACGCAGCTTCCAAATGAAATTGATGCTGCCCAGACTGGGACTTCACCACTGAGGCAGGTAGGACCCATCTAATGTCTTTAATGCCAGTTGCTTGTAGCGAGTCTCCGAAAGACGGATAAGCAATCTATAAATTTGGCCCAGGTAAGACAGATAGTTCAGAAGGCAGAGGAATCGCCAGCCGCATTTTTTGAAAGACTTAAGGAAGCTTACAGAATGTATAACCCATATGACAGGGGTATACACTACCAGATGTATTGAGGGAGACAGAACGTATTTTTTAATAAAAGAGAAGCTCAGAGAGAGAGAGAAAAGAGGTAAACAGAATGTCAGAGACAGGAAATGAGAGAGACAGGATAGCAAGGGACAAGAAGCGTAATAGAGAAATGACTAAACTGTTGGCCACAGTAGTCGCAGAGACAGGATAGGTAGAGAGAGGGACAAAGGGGGCCTCACTGAGAAAGAAGGACCTTTCAGAGACCCAAACCCCCTGCCGGTCCCCCTGGAACACTCCCCTGTTGCCAGTCAAGAAGCCAGGAACCAATGACTATAGGCCGGTCCAGGACCTCCGGGAAGTCAATAAGCGGGTTGAGGACATACACCCCATGGTCCCCAATCCCTATAACCTCCTGGGTGGACTGCCACCTGACTATGTTTGATACTCAGTCCTGGATTTGAAGGATGCCTTCTTCTGCCTGCGGTTACACAAAGACAGTCAGCCACTGTTTGCCTTTGAATGGCAGGATGCAGACCTGGGAATCTTGGGACAACTTTGACTGAGGGGAGAGCCAGGAGAAAGCCTTCATGGACATCAAGAAGGCTCTGCTCAGCTCCCCAGCTCTGGGGTTACCTGATCTGACTGAACCCTTTGACAAATTGACGTTGGGGCAGCCTTTGACTATCTATGCTCAGGCAGCCACCGGGCCGCTGGCTCACCAATGCCAGGATGACCCATTACCAGACTCTGTTGCTGGACAAGGACCGAATTCACTCCGGGGCTCCGGTGACCCTAGACCCCGCCTCGCTACTCCCCCTCCCGGGGAAGCAGAGACTCATAACTGCTTGCAGGTCCTGGCTGAGGTCCATGGGACGAGAGCTGACCTCACGGATCAACCCCTTCCCAACCCTGACCTTGTCTGGTTCACGGACGGAAGCAGCTTTGTACATCAAGGAGAGTGGAAAGCCGGTGCTGCATTGACAACTGAGTCAGAAACAATTTGGGCCGAGGCCTTGCCGCCAGGAACATCAGCCCAACGAGCAGAACTGATTGCCTTGACACAGGCCCTGAGACTGGCAGAAGGTAAGAAACTCACTGTCTACACAGACAGCCGCTATGCTTTTGCCACCGCTCACATCCATGGTGAAATTTATAGGCGAAGGGGGCTATTGACCTCAGAGGGCAAAGACATTAAAAACAAAAAGGAAATCCTGGCCCTCTTAGAGGCTCTGCACTTGCCAACCGCCCTCAGTATTATACATTGCCCAGGGCATCAGAAAGGTGACAGTCCAGTCGCCCGGGGAAACCGGAGGGCAGACCTGGCCGCCCGGGAGGCTGCCCTGGCCATGAAAAGCAGCAGTCACCTCCTCCAGGCAGCTGTAGTCCCTGTAACTAATGAGGCTTCCGAGAAGACCTCCCCGTCTTGGGACTATAAGATAAAAGACATCAAGGCCATGAAAAGACTGGGGGCGACCCGAGTACATGATGGTCTCTGGACCTATCAAGGGAAAACTGTCCTTCCCCGCCTAATGACTAGATATCTGGTTAACAGCCTACACAAACTCACTCATTTGAGCTCCAGGAAAATGAGAGAACTGTTAGCCCGGGAAGAAAATACCCGCCACCTGTTGGGAATAGAAGAAATAATAAAACAAGTGACTGAGCAATGTGACGCCTGCGCCCACGTCAATATGACCAGGCTAAAGCTACCCATGGGGACCCGAGCTCGGGGGCACTGGCCTGGGGTGCACTGGGAAATAGATTTCACAGATCTCCTGGTTTTTGTTAACACCTTCTCGGGATGGACTGAAGCCTACCCCACCAAGCACGAGACAACAAAGGTGGTCACCAAGAAACTTCTTGAAGAAATCTTCCCCCGTTACGGAATGCCACAGGTATTGGGGACAGACAACGGGCCTGCCTTTGTTTCTCAGGTAAGTCAGTCTGTGGCCACCTTGTTGGGGATTAATTGGAGATTACATTGTGCTTACTGACCCCAAAGCTCAGGACAGGTAGAACAAATAAATAGAACCATTAAGGAGACTATAACTAAATTATCGCTTGTAGCTGGCACTAAAGACTGGGTCCTCTTGCTCCCCCTTGCCCTCTATTGTGCCCGGAATACACCGAGCCCCCATGGCTTCACCCCTTTTGAGATTTTACATGGAACCACCATTCCCTTTGTTCAGTTCTTTGACCAAGATATTTCTGACTATGCCAATTCCTCCTCTCTTCAAGCTCACCTGCAGGCACTCCAGCTGGTTCAGCAGGAAGTCTGGAAGCCTCTGGCCCAAGCCTACCGAGACCAGAGGAAACACCCTATCGTCCCTCACTCCTACAACGTGGGAGACAGCGTTTGGGTCCGACGCCACCAGGCTAAGAACCTTGAACCCCGCTGGAAGGGACCATACACGGTCCTGTTAACCACCCCTACTGCTCTCAAGGTGGACAGGATTGCTGCTTGGATACATGCCTGGCACGTAAAAGCTGCCTTCCCTGAGGATCTGGACCCAGGATGAAAGGCTCAGCGCACTCAAAATCCTCTAAAAATAAAACTTACCCGCTCCTCTCCCTCCTGCTAATAGCCCTCCTCATAAAATCAGACACTGGTGTGGCCTCCAGTCCCCATACCGTTTATAAATTAACCTGGGAGGTTCTCTCCCAAGTGGGGGAGGTCATTTATGCTGTCACGGAACCACATGCACTTGGGACATGGTGGCCTACTCTATGGCCTGAATTTTGTGATTTGGTAGCAGGGTTGGACACTTGGGACATTCCCCATTGCCACCCAAAGGCATGCGCCAGTGGTTCCCACTTTTACAGACGTCGACGTGCACTCATGGACTCCAGAGAAACCACCCCCGGGTGTGTTGATCAAAGAGCCAGAGAGCAGCTAAGTTCAAAGGACTTCTATGTCTGCCCCCGAGATGGGCATGCCTGGCAACAGGCCCAGAAATGTGGGGGATATGACTACTTTTTCTGTGCAGCTTGGGGGTGCGAGACTACAGGGGACGCATATTGGAGGCCATCCTCATCCTGGGATAAAATACAGGTACGCAGAGGCTGGGACAAAGGACAATCTGGAATGATAGGTAGGCCTCTTGCCATTTCCTTCACTGCGCAGGGAAAGCAAGCCCCGGACTGGCAGACTGGGTATACTTGGGGTTTGCGTTGGTATCTGTACGGGCCAGACAAGGGGGTAATCTTTACAATCAGATGTAAGGTGGCTCCGGTTAATCCACAGGCCATAGGCCCTAATCAGGTCCTTGCTGATCAAAAGCAGCCTAGCCTACTCTGCCCAAGGCTGATACCAGGCCCCTGACCCTGCCTAAAACCACAGCCGCTCCCGCGCCTACAGAAAGCACTCCCAAACCCCCCTCCTCGGGTCACCCCCTTGAAGGCACGGGAGATAGAATATTAGCCCTAATCAAAGGGACATATGCCACTCTGAATTTAACTCGCCCAGATAAGACTAAGGAATGCTGGCTTTGTCTGACTCCGCAACCTCCCTATTATGAAGGCTTAGCGGTTGTGGGCGAATATACAAATCAGGCCACAGCCGAGGCTCTTTGTGGGACAGCCATGCAACATAAATTGACCATCTCAGAAGTGTCTGGAAAGGGGCTATATATAGGTAAAGTCCCCGCCACGCATCAAGGACTATGCAATGCCACTGAGCCTTTGCCCCAAAGTGGCCACTACTTGATAGCCCCCAATGGGACATATTGGGCATGCAACACTGGATTAACCCCTTGTGTCTCCACCACGGTACTAGGTGCCACCGTTGACTATTGTGTTCTGATTGAATTATGGCCTAAGGTAATTTACCACCCCTCTGACTATGACATGATAAGTACTGGCCGCATTAAGAGGGAACCTATCTCCATCACTACTGCCATCCTACTAGGAGGACTAACCATGGGAGGCATAGCAGCAGGAATAGGAACCGGTACTGCCGCACTGCAGGAAACTAAACAGTTCCAACTCCTACAACAAGATATTCGGTCTTTAGAGGAGTCTGTCGCTGCCCTGGAGAAGTCTCTGTCCTCCCTGGCAGAAGTAGCCCTCCAAAACAGAAGGGGACTAGACCTCTTATTTTTACAGCAAGGGGGAATTTGTGCGGCCCTTAAAGAAGAATGCTGCTTTTACGCAGACCATACCGGAGTGGTAAGAGATAACCTGGCTAAAATAAAAGAAAGACGCCAAAAGTACCACCAATTAATTGAGTCCCAACAGGGATGGTTTCAGAATTGGTATAACAGGTCCCCTTGGTATTCGACTCTCATATCCACCATTATGGGACCCCTGATCATTATATTGCTGATTCTGATGTTCGGGCCATGCATCTTAAACAGATTAATCCAGTTTATAAAGGAAAGGTTATCAATTGTACAATCACTGGTT